TTTAGTGGTCGGTTGACCTTCCTCAAAAAAGATTTAATAAGCAGTATGAGGGCTTCTCTGCTCAAATCCCTAGCCATAACCCAAAGAGAATCTTTTCATAATTTCTAAATCATTTACACACGCGCATTAGGAAAAAATTAAAGGTCCAATCACATGAAAATATTTAAGGAGTATTATGAACCATTTTTAGCATCCATGAGAAAAATGTAAACAAAAGATTTACCAAGGTATTGAAGATGGACGCGAATCTGGTGGGTCCTTCCGGTGTAAATACGACAAAGTAAAATACTCGTTCCATTCAAAGAGGCTTTGGATTTTTTTTCTGCTTCCATATGATCTAAAAAAGATAGAATATAAATTGATGTGAGAAATTCTAACGTTTTCTAGCATCCGTTGGCTTCCAAGCAATTCGAATAAATGCTGTACGAGCTATTTTTCCGCCTTGTCCCTCGGATAAGACGGCTTGCAGTCCTAATTTAGCATCAATGGTGCCAATAGGTTGATCACAAAAAACAGGAATAATATTAGATCCATTGTCATCATCACCATTAGGAAAGTAGCCTTCAACAAGACAGAGGTAAAACTATAATACAAAATGATATAGAGAAAAACACATATATGAATATATCCATGTATATATCGGCAAATAAAGTCGAAAATTACTTTGATAACCTCCCGACCCTGAATTTTTGTTGCAAGCGCATGAGAAGTATCATAGTTCTTGCCAATAATCATTAGACCGGATGTAAGCCTACAACGACCAATACGAATGAGAGAAAATGGCGATAGAAGACTATTTAATACTTTTAAAAAGTATTAAATAGTCTTATCAGCAAACAAAGGTGGCAGAATATAAGAAATAAAATGTAAATGCTTAGTTGGGATTAAAAAGTATTAAACGAGAACCGTTATTATACAATTACCAGAGGTATACTTTTAAAGATTATGCATAGCTAAGGTAAAAGAACGGACCGATAAGGCTCAATATACAAGCAAGTGGAGTGGAATGCAGACCTGACTAAATTTCTAAGTACAAAAATAATGCGA